TACAATACATGCGGTTGCTCGCCCACGAATTTGATCCCGTACAAGTGAAGGAAGTCATTCTTGCAAAATCTTTTCGACGGGGTGACTCCGGTGGAATTTTTGGTTTTTGTTTGGTTAAATTTGTGGAGGTGGAATTGGGATGGTATGAATTGGAGAAGCATGTTTAAGGAAAATATATCTTCGAGGTTTAGTGGTGGCGGAGGATGCAGAGAGGGAACTGGCAGCGGCGGCTGAATCGACGAAGGGGGACCTGAGTAGGCGAAGCACTGCCTTATGGAGGTTATTAGTGGGAAAAAAAATTAGGAACAATGACGGGGGCTGTTTTGGGATTTTAAACGGTGTGAGTTATTTTTTATTTTTTTATTTTTTTTCCCTGGAGAAATCCACAAAACGAAGTCGTTTTGTTGCTATTTTTAACCAAAAACTTTCAGGTTTTGTAAATATATTTTTTTCAGGTGTGGAGATTCCAAAGTTAAATCCTGAAACGACTCCTTTTATAGGTTAGGGGTTATGTTTTTTCAAAAGGTTGCGGATTTTTTTTTCTAATGGGAATAAACTGAATTTTTGAATTTTAATTTTTGCCCCTAATAAGTCGCTGACATCACATCAACTCCAACCGACAGACGAGATCAATTTGACGGTGGTCCTTGAATATTTTGTGGACATTTTTCTTGTCTACTGTGCCTTTTATTGAAAGTGATTTATTAAATTCCTGTTTTACCCCTAATAAGTTGCTGACATTATATCAACCCCATCCGACGGACGAGATCGATTCGACGGTGGTCTTTGAATATTTCTTAGGCATTATTTCTTACCTACTGTGCCTTTTATTTAAGTATATGGATAAGGATGAACAAAAGGCGATAATAAAGTCAAACCATTATATTTAGGGAAAAACGTCATTGAGATTAAGATTAAACTACAGAAAACATCCTATATATTTGGTTAAAAAATCATTTACGTCCTACACATTTCAAAATGTTCATTTTCATCCTATTTCATTCAAAAAAGGCGATTTTTCGTCTATTTACGTCCCAACTCAATTTTACGTCCAACTGACCATTTACGTCCCAACTCAATTTTACGTCCAACTGACCGTCAAAATGGAGGGGCAATTTTGTCTTTTTGTCCTTTTGGTTTTCAGTAATGAAAAAATAATAAAATAATAATAAAAATACTTGAAAATATTTTTAAATTCGAAAAAATAAAAAATATCAAAAATAAAATTTTCTTGCACTTTAACCGAGTGGGGCCTCAAGAATTTAATTTTTTATTATTACCTATAGCAAACAGTAAATGTAATAAAAAATCAAAGAATTTCAAAATGAAAAATTAAAGAAAATTCACTCCATTTATCTTGTGGATCCTACATCGGCTGCATTTTTTCCGAATTAATATCAAATACACTCCCGGAGTTTGGTCCAAATCCAATATCTAAAATACAATCACCTTCTGGGAAAATCAAATACACCGATTGACCAAACAACCCAAACAGTCCATTTTGCCATTCATTATGAGATCATCAAAAAATGCCCAGAGCCATTTTTAACTTCTACTGCAAAAATGTCGGTCGCCGGCCAGACGGGGTCCCGGCCAAAACTAATATCTGGATTCAATCACATATATAAACCCAAATCAAAAATCTCAAAGTGGCTCGAGAATAAATCAGATTACAACCATCATAAAACTAATCCAATGAAGAACTAAATTTAATCACAATTACAGCCAGCATAAACTTCGAGTCAAGGTGATACCCTGATATCCACATCTAAACGAATCGAATCTAATTAATAACTAAATTTAACAAATCTGTGGATCACTGTAACCCAAAAGGCGATTTAATCATCATAAACTCAACGGAAGAAAGGAAGAAATTCGGTCCAAGAAAACAAAAAGAATTTGTTTGGAAAAAATTTGAGTGAACCAAGATATATTACTGATCTGACGCGCAAACAATCTCCGGAGAGAAAAACAAATTCCAACTTCGGCCAACTATTGCTGCGACTCCCTATCCCAAATCCTAATTAGAAAAGATTAGGTGGGTTAAGATTGATTGGTGGTGGTAGCTTTTGCGCAACCTCCATAGTAGGACAAGAAAAATCTTCAATTTTATGAATTCCTAAAATAAAGTTGATGGGTTGAATCTGATGGTGGCAACGGCTTCTCATACAATCCTAGTTGATATCTAGCGGTGACGAGCAATGACAAGCGGCGGCGTTGGAAAAAAAAAAATAATGGCGATGATGGAAAGAGGGGGAATTGGGCATCGACAAAAGGGAGAAAAGATGGAGAGGAAGACGTTCTTGTTTTATGGGAAAGGCTTTTTAATCTCCCTTTTACCCTATTAAAGCAGTAGACATGAAGCTTACGTGGCACTACGTATGCATCTGTTTTAGCTCCAATGCACCATATTTCATATTTCAGAAGTCTTTTAACCACGTGTAAGTCTCTTTTAATTAAAAATTATACAATTTTTTTTTTAAAAAAAAAACACATGTTTTACTACACCCTATTAAAGCAGAAGACATGAAGCTTATGTGGCAACTACGTATGCATCTGTTTTGCCTCTAATACACCATATTTCAGATTTCAGAAATCTTTTTACCACGTGTAAGTCTCTTTTAATTAGAAGCTATATAATTTTTTTAAAAAAAAAACACATGTTTTACTACAAATAAGGATCAATTACATTTCAAACGAATGGATATATTAATTCAAATTCAAATGTCCAACTGTATAGTTTTGCAGGCTTAATATAAACAAAAAATAAAAATACCTAAATCCAGCAATTAAGAATAATGCCTTATAAACTAATCCCTTTTACCTTATTAAAACAAAATACATGATGTTGATGTGGCAACTTCTTATTAAAAATTTTTGGCTCCAAATGCGCCATATTGCATTAACCATTCTGCCACGTGTCATCCTTTTTTAAAAGAAAAAAAAAATTCTTATCCGGAGAAACAAAAGCAACTTTACAAAAAGAGCTACACAATTTTAACTCATAACATTTATCATTTATCAATCAAATTAAAATAGCATTAAAATTTGCCCATAAACTTATCCCCTTTATTACTCCACATTCTTTTGTATGATTTCTGTATCGTTGTACTTTTCAATATTTTTTCTCCTTTGGTAGATGATTTTTTTATTTTTATTTTTATTTTTGGCTAAAAAGGGAAAAAAAAACCAAATCTGTAACTATTTTATTTTTTCTAAATCAAGAATTCATTTATCTATTAACACAAAATTAAAGTAGAGGGGTACCCGAACATCTGCCCGAGCCAAACATCTAGTTAGGAATTACTTTAGTAACGTGGGTACTGAGGGCCCTCCTGGTTAAAGAATATGAAAATTTTAGTTTTGATTTTTTTTTTTTCGAATTTCATAATATTTTTGATTTTTTTTATTATTTAATTATATTTTATTGCTTAATCACAGTAAAACGAAAAGATGGTCAAAAGGACGAAAATACCCCTACATCGGACTGTTAATTTAAGGGAAAATTTGAGTTGGGACGTAAATAGACGAAAAATCGCTTTTTTGGATGAAATTGGACAAAAATGAGCATTTTGAAATGTGTGAAATGTAAATGATTTTTTGACCTAAAGTATGGGACGTTTTCTGCAGTTTAGTCTTGAGATTAATCATCAAAAAATTCACGTGATTACCTCTTTGGTAAACATTGATATATTTTTTTTCTGGGGAAACAAATACATTCTATTTCGCTATATGAAAAGGAAAGAAAGATTAGAACTGTTTATTTAAAGAGCTGAAAGGGAAAATGAATTTTTTTAAAAAAAAAAAAGAGAAAAAGGAAAAGTACGAAGAAAAATTACTCCCTTTGTATCCTCTAACGGGCATATGAATCCTCCAATTGGATTCAGCATGAACATTGAACACTGCCGGCGCCAGAAAAGTCATTAAACTGGACGTAAAAGCCACTATAATAATAATATATTACGCATTAAGAAAAAAAAATCGGAGACTATTATAGAAAACCTACCTACTCAAATAAGTACATTTGTTATATGAAAAAAAACTTATTTTAAATGCACCAGAGAGAAATAAAAAAGGGAAAAAAGGTCTTGAAAAGATGATATGGTGAAGAAGAAGGTGATTAGGAGGAAAAAGACAAATCATTATATAGGGTAAAAAATAATATGGAAATAAATATGATAACTTTATTTAATGATTGAAGTTCGTAGACTAGAAAAAAAAATACTAGCCTTGAGTGGATAATAAAAATCTTGAAAAGTTCTATTATTTGTCTTGATTTTAGGATTCTTTTTATTTTCCTCAATCTCTTAAACTTGAACCAAACCTAAGATTTATTTTTTTTTATGAAATCAAACATAAGATCTCTATGCCCTAAGACCAAAATGATTCGGAGAAACTAAAAATATTTTTTTTATTTTATTTATTTATTTTGAAATAGGCTTTTTTTTTCTTGTTTGAAAATAAGACCTGTAATATATTAAACATCAACAGTTTGCGATTAAAAACACAAATTTTTAAAATCAGATCGGAATATAAATTACTATAACTAAAAATCATATGAACATTGATCAATCAATCTAATTAGATTTTTCCAAACAAAAAATAAACAAATGAAAATTGGTAGGACGGATGGAGGAACATGGGAAGGTCGGATGAATAAAATTACTTCACATAAACTAGCTTGCAAAATTTTTTACATGAGTTATTACCGGAATAAAAATGGTGAATTTTTTCAAAAATTTATGAAAACCTATAGAATAATTATTAAACGGAAAATTAGCTACGTATTAAATTATAATTAAAAAATGGAAGGAAAAGTACCAACCATGTCCCGCCAAAAAGTAGCGCACTTGTGCTACACAATACCCATCTCCCGCCAAATTTCCCCGCCATTCTTTCATTCCACCACTAACAACTTCACTTCCCCGGCGGCGCTAAAGGGGAAGAACGCAGCCCACTCAAAAACCGCAAAAATCCTCCTTAGATTTCTTCAATCAGACATGGAGGAAATGCCATCGAACATTCTTTCAAGGAAGAGAAAGCAATTTCCAGCGTCAATTTCTTCGGAGCCCTCCATCTGCGCCGTCACCCGTAGCCAATACCGTCGACGCCGGGATTCCTCAGGCATCTCTTCCCCGGTGAAATTACAGAAATCCCAGACGACTTACGATTTTTCTCTGGAGAAATCTAACAGTACACGCTCCTCGAATTCGGAAAATGGTGCTTCGTTGTACCTCTCTATTAAAGATCTTCGGGCCAGAGGTCGAAGAGTTTTCTCGCCTTCTGGTGGTATCGAAGTGCAGAACGAGCTGGGATTTGATTTCGGAGAAGGGATCTCAAATGGGTCTTTGAAGAACAGCGCTGGTACATTAGGGTTCAAGAATACGGGTTCGGGTCCGGGTTCTATTTTATGGTCGAGCTTTCGCGTTTCTGATGAGGAGGAGAACGAGAAATGTGGAAATGGAGGAAGATTTGATGTGGGTTCAAAGGATTTGGAAATGGGTTCTGGAAACCAAACGCCTATGGATGAGAAAGATGCGGGTATGAACAAGATTAATCGAGTTGAGAGTGGAAAGGACTGCTGTGAAATTCAAAAGGAGGGGTCTACGCCTAGCACTATGGTAATACTCAATGCCCTTCTGGTTTCTTCTCATTCTTGTTTTTTGTTACATATTATGTTGCAATTCATACGGTTTTTAAGATAAACTTTTCAAGACTGAAAGTTGAACGACTTTTAGAGTTTTAGTATCGGCTTTTGAGACTCTGCTCCTTGTGTTTGTTTGTGTATGTTAGTTGCATTTGTTTGACTATAGCAGAATTGGGTGTGGTTTTATTGTCTAGGTTCGAAAGCCCTGTTCAAGAGGAAAGGTTTACAAGTCTCCCAGCTTATTCAGCTACAGAAGACTGCTACCTTTTCTGGCTGATATGGTGAAGGAAGAATCCTGTAAGTTCCTAGCCTTCCGCTGGTTTTTAGTATTGGTTGTAGAGTTGTTGAGGAGATATATGTCACGAGATTTGCTGTTTGATATTCCTGTGTTCTGCTGTTAATAAGACAACCTAATGCAGAAAAAGATTGATTGATCTTGCTTGCTATCCTATTCTATTCTTGCTTTAGGTACTATAAGAAGTAATGGGGTTGGTGAAGATCCTCAAGATGAGAACTCAATTAATGTGAATTCTATTTCCTCACCAGTTTCGAATGATTCCGATTCGGCTGAGCACGAACATATTGGTGAAGATTCTAGTGAAACAGGACCATTGATTAATGGACTTGTTCAGAAAGATGCGATCCAACTTGAAGTTGTACTTCCACTTTTCGATGATCACGGCAAACAGTTACCTCAAACTGAAGAGGCAGTCAGCTTGACCGATGTGCCTGGAAGAAGTGATGAGAATGGTATAACTGAAGGTAATGTACTCATTGAAGAACATATACAGACAACACCACCTGATTCCACCATTTTGAGTGAACTTGGTCTTCGTGATGATGAGGCAAATATAGAAGTTAATCTGAAGACTCAGAATCCTGTGTTACCGTATGCATCCAAAGGAAGCGATTCCACTTGCCATGTTTCCGCTTCAGAAAAGGTCACTAGTCCTGCTAAAAGAGAGAACACCATTTCAACCAGTAAAATGGTAAGCAGTTCTCAATCAATTCTCTTAATATGTATTGCCTGTCCTTTGCATCAATTAATCAGCACTTGATAACATTCTAGAAATAATACTTTGATGCCTGACCGTTATGGAATGTTGATTTGTTGGACAGTTTCTGAATCTATGTTCTCGAACCAAAATATATAAAACGTCAAACTCTTTCAGCTATAGAAGATTGCTGCCCTATCTGATGGATGTTGCAAAAGGTTCCATATCCTCGCCTTTTTCAGTTTAGCAGTTTTCAAGTGTAGTTCACAAATTATTATTTATTAAAACCAATGTTCCCTTGTAGGTTCTGGACACAATGATACTTCTCCTAAATTTTCGAAGGATGTGGAGAGTAGTCAAAATTCAGAATCTTTTGCTTCATCACATAATGATGTGAATTTAAATGAGATTAAAACCTTTGAGTTCCAAGAGAAACAGCAAGACAAATGCCTGGAGGTAGACTCCCCAACTGGTACCAATGTTCCTTCTGGTGGCAATTGCCTTGAAGTATCAGCTCAATTAATTATTCCAAGCAACGAAACATCTTTGGAGAAGCCAAATTCTGCATGCTCTGAAAATTTATCTGAATCAGATACGCTGAATGGCTCATTGAAGGAAAGGACATCTTCATTACAACATGTTCAGTTGAATCAGATCAATGATTCTGCAGAGGAACTTCAGAATGCTGATATCCAAGTCTGTGACCATGAACGTAATAAGGCAGTAGAGAAATTATGCTCTAGTGTTAACCACAAAACTTTGCCTGGAGAATCCAAATTAGAGGCCAATCACCAGCCTTTAGACAGTGTAAAGAACTGCAGTTCTGATGACCTAGTTAGTCAAGAAGTTCAATTGACCAGCGAAAAAAGTGTCAGTCCGGATCAAAGCCCGTTGAAGAATGGAGAGTTCTACTTTCATAGGATTGGAACTCCAACAAAGGGAATATTGAAGAGAAATCCAAGAGGATGCAGAGGGCTATGCAGTTGTCTGAACTGTTCTTCATTTCGCTTGCATGCGGAAAGAGCTTTTGAATTTTCAAAAAATCAAATGCTTGATGCTGAAGAAATAGCTCTGACATTGATCAATGAACTAGGTGAACTTCGTGATATGTTGGAGAGATCTGCAGTTGTCGGAAGTGATCAAACTAACATCCAAGTCAACCAGGTACGCCTGCACAGTCTTATATTAGAAATATGTCAACTAAGTATTGAGATTCTTGTCTAATGAACCTTGTTGAATATACTCATGTTCTACTTATTAGTGTGAAGATTCACTTTATTAGTGATGGAATCAACTACATAAATGTGCATTGAGTATGATACTTCTCACTGTCCAATTCATTATATTTAGAAATCTATTTTAATTCCCATCCATGATCCATCCATGATATGTTGGATCCACAAGTTTTGGGCTTTCTGTAGTCTGTTTGAATTTCATTCTACGCTTAAGACACGATAAGTTTGGATTTTCTAGCTGTAGAAAGAAAAACTAATCTGTATTGGCTGATGTTTTTGTACAAAGGACTGAGGCTTAGCCAAAGGCAACAGTTTTTGTTGTAACGGGATGAGATTTGTTTTCCATTTTTCTTTCTTTGCTTTTTATGTGCTTTATATGAAATTCATCAGCATCATTCTGAGAGTCTGGAAGTTTGAGCACGCCTTCTCATGTACCTTGTGGTTTCCGGTTCAGGTTAAAAAAGGATGTGAAAGAGCACTGGCAATGGAACAGCAGGCAAAACAGCGCCTCAGCCAAATGAATCAGGACCTCAGCGCACATTGCAGAACTATAGTAAGAGTCAATCTAGTGTTTTAGAATACTTTTCCATTTGATGTGCCTTATCTAATATTGTTTCATTGCTTTGATCATCTCCTAATCACATCAGCCATTGGAACGACCAAGAGTGAAATTCGCCAGATATACAGAACTGAAATCAATTCCAGAACGGAAGTCACAAGGAGCCCCTAAGGTCATAATTAGAGATGATAACAAGAAATGATGTTCTTGGACTTCCGTACACGAGCCAGATATACAGATCAAGTGGCCGCAGAAGTTTATTTAAGGATGAGCAACTCTTTTACAAGCAAAGCTATTTAAGATAATGTTTAGCGTAGCTTCTTGGACAACACCTTTTTTGACTGATTTTAAGCAAAGAGGTTGTACTCGTATTAACAAGTTTCACGATTTGTAAATACATGGAGAGATTTTATTTTGAGTTCTGAGTGTTGTCCCAATCAAACTGACAAATCTTATTGATGTCCTTTTTCCTTGAATGAGTTGGCTGTTTAGAGCCATAAGAAATTAACAAAGTCATTTTGCTTTGTTTCAATTCTTTAAGATTCTACATTAAGCGCATTTCCACAGCATAATCCTGTATTATTGTCTTTCACATTTGCCATTTCATAGTTTTGTCCCACAAGTTTGGCTTAGAAAATTCCAAAAGTCGTACATACGGCACCTTATGAAGATATGGCCAGTCCAAACTAGGATCCGCCATTGTCAGCAGATCTTAGATTCATGCACACACAGACTTAAACTCTCTGCTCTGCACTCTGCAGCATACTTGGAAGGAAGATATAAAGACACTGTACAGGCCATGATGCACAAATGGACAAACTCTCCAGCTCTTTGATTTGTACATACCAGAACAGGATTGTAGTTAGCCCATGAAGGGACCAAATTTCACATTCCAGCCATACTTCAGTACTCCCAAGTCCCAACTCCCAAGCTCTTTGCATTATTGCCAGCTAGCTGAGATTGATCTTGAACTTTGCTGATGAACTTTAGCGCAATAGCTGAATATGAATTGGTGTATCTTAATTTTCTGGGTTGTTTTCATTTTATACTTCACTAAGGAATTAGTAGAGTTGATAATCAGGTCGTGTTTCATGTTCGCAAGTTGCAAGGGATATCAACTTCTGTGACGATAATACACGAACATTTCCATACCACAAACCTAACATATAGCTCTTGCTCGTATTACTTTTGAAATAAACAAGTCGCATTTCTCTGCCTCATTTTTTCAAAAAGGAAAAAAGAAGCACGGAATCCATCTACCTAGTCTCCTCCAGCCACCAAATTAACCAGCATTCTTTGAAAGAGAGCTGGAAAGCAGAATGTTTGTCTTTTTTGATTCCTTCCACTTCTTTTTGTTTTTGTACGCGAAGAGCTAAAATTCGTTATGTTTTACAACATTGAATCAAACGTATATGTACAAATTACAGACTAATTAGATTACTACCTTATTTTGTGTTGTGATTCAAATTATCTCCTCTTAATCGGTCCAAATCCAGAATTTTGCTGTTCTTTTGTAGTGTATTAGGTTTTCCATTTCTATGCGTTGGAGAAAACTTGGCTTTTGTTTTTCTTCATCCTACTCAGGAAATTCATAAAAACAATTCTTGGTGGAAGCAAGAAGCAGATAAATTCAATTATTAAACCTTGTACAAACAAATCAAACAGGAGTAAAACAAAAAACAAAAAAAAAAAACAACATACATTAGAGACATAATTGTACAAAAACTTGCTTCATGATTAGGTTCAACTCATCATCCTTGTCATCATCAGAATCTTTATCTTCGGCACTCTGGGGGGAAGCCCTGAGGAAATCGCTTGTGATCCGTACAATAGTTGTATATCATGAAATTCCTCTGAACCCATCTCAATCTTCTTCTGCTAGAGGCATCGAGTTGTTGATTCTGCCATGCCTGATTTGAATACTGACCCTTGCTTGTAGCTGTTTGTGCATTGAAATTCCTGTAGTATGCAATAAAGGGTGCCTTTGTCCAGTCAGTTTTAATTAGTCCTCCTCTTGTAGCCCAATCATCAGCATTCCATAGGCTAGAGTAAATCCTCATTGGCTGGTTTTTTGGGTATGGAACTCCAAGTGATTCAGCATTTCTGAACTCTCTAATTGGAGTGTTATCCACCATGAAGCTGTAGTATAGTGACCGATGTGTCAATAAATTAAATTGATGTGAAATATAATAAAATATTAATTTTACGTGCCAAATTAGTCACTACGAAAATTCACTTTGATTTTAGGAATATGTACTTACACAATGTGTTGGGGATTCCAAATGATAGAGTAAGTGTGGAAATTCTTGGTTGGATCAAACCAGAGATAAAATTGTTGTTCCCTGCCTCCTTTTCCTTGAGCAAAAACATTTGTGTGGAGAATGTAAGGTTCACCAGTTACATTTCCAAGGAATTCAAAATCAATTTCATCATGGGTTGGTCCTTGAGAAGATAACTGCAAGGGAAAACAAAAATTGTTAATAATCTGGCCTTGCCTCTTATGTCCGTTTCAGAACATATCTACTTTAAAATCAATTAGCAATAGACGTAGAAGTCTCAAGAATAAACAAATGCGAAACGGAACTAATTTCTAAGGAAAAATATACATACATAATATGCGGTGACAGTGCCAGCAGAATTTCCAGCAACAAGTTTAAGCTGCATGTCAATTCTTCCAAACAAGTATTCTTTCTTGGATTGGAAACCAGAGCCAGACTCTTTGTCCAATGACAAAGAAAGAAGTTGCCCGCCATTGAATACCTTGGCTTTGTTTCCTCCCCATATTAAATCAAAATCTTGGTGAAAATTACCACCATAAGCAGCAACAATGCATGAGCTCAAAAGCACAAGTACCCCAACATGCCACAAAATCTTAGAGCACACCATTTTTTTTCCAAGTGGGATTTGAACAAATTTTGTAAACAAGAACTATGATTTGTGTAATGTATAATGTGTCATGTGTTATGATTTTGAACTTGAGAGGTATATATATAGAGGGGTTTTAGGAATTAGGAGGAGCCTTTTTTTTAAAGAGTGGGAGAGTATAATGCTTGTGAGTGAGAGTGATGGGGTTGGGTAGGGTGGGGGGAATAGGGGTGGATAAAGGCTGGTGCCAGCTGAGCAAGCATGAAAGCTGGAGGAGATGTTTATTTGTTTGTTTTGGAGGTTTTTTTTTGGAGATTGGGGTAGTTTGAAAGTGTACTTCTTTTAGTTCTTTTGGGAGTGTAGTTGGGAGGGTTTCATAAAAATGATTCTGTACCCTTTGGGGAGGATATGTTCAAGGGGTATGGTGGCCCTCTTCCCTTTTGCCATGATTAATATGGACCATTCAGTGGGTGCCAACCAGACTGGAAGACAGTACTTGGTGACAAAGGTATTATGATCATGTTAAAATTAAATATGGGAGTACTTATTTGCATGGATTGAATGGGAGAGGGGGATTCAATGAACACACTTTGTTGTTTGTTGTTTATAATCCACTCCTTTAATGCATCCTTGTTTGATGCTGACTGTTTTGTGATCTCTAGATAATTGTTGTTCTGATTGGGTTTTTGGGATGGATTGTACAAGAAGAGATGTTTACTAGTGAAATAAAATTAGTCTACACTTTTATTTCTCACTTAGAAGATTAGAATTTAAATTTCATCAAAATTCCGGCTTATATATAAACACAACTATTTTTCTTACTTTAACCTTCGATACGACTTTTACTAATGTTCTTTGGCGATGTTAATACGAGAGGTTTTAGCTAACACTTCTAAATGTTATTCTGCTTCTAGTGCTAGTTTGCAAGACATATTTAGGGTAATGCTAGGACATTTGGAACTAATTTACTTGGGTATAACAAAATAAGTTTGTTAATGTATAAGTTCATAGATAATTGAGTAGTAACACTTTTAAATTAAAAAAGGAAAAAAAATGAAATAAATGTAGTGCAATTATATATAAATTGTAAACTCTACCAGTCTACCTACCTAACTATGAACTTAATTTTTTTACTTTATCAAACTAAGAACTTTTTGTTAGTGAGTATAGTTGGTGTACAGAAGATATGGTATAGAGATTCTCATGCTAATACGAACAACAATTATTGTTCTATCCAGTGATTAACCGACTCTTTAGAGCCTTAGAGGTGCCATTATGAATTAAACAAAGATTCTAATTTGATGTTCATGTATCATAAGCAATATTTCCATTTATGAGAATTTTGGGCAAAGTAGCTAACCATAATAACTCTTTACATTTCTTTTTTTCCCCCTATTTTTTTTTTCTTTTTTTAGTTGAAGAAGGTTTTAAAGTTTTGGAAGTATTTAGTATCATTGTCACCTAAAGAAGGCCAAGCCAGCTAGCAACACAATTTTTTATTTTGTATTTTTTACTACTTTTTTCAATAAAGTTATTCCCTGGAAAAAAGGAAAGTTCAAATTTTTTGGACATAGAATTTAATTTTTTAGAAACCCTAATAATATGGGAATTGTTGTATGTGACTGCTTGTACTGTCTAGCCTATAAGTTGCCTGCAACTTCTGTTGGATATCAAAAGAAAAAAAAATTCCCGCAAAATGGGGAAAAAAAAAAGGAACAAATAGATGAAATGAAAAAAAAAATCTGAATTATATTGTGAAAATGGGCTAAAATTAAGACTCTTTTGGGGTAAAAATATATTTTAAAGGATGACTATTGTTAATTTTTCAGAACAAATATGGGAACCCAAAACTACTTCATGTGTTTTTACCAAAAAAGAAAAAAGTCATTTTGGTTTTCATAACTACATGCCCCTCTCTCCCAAAGTGATTGTTAAGTATTGATTTTCATTTTTAGTATAAAAAATCAAATTAGACAATCATTTCGGAATAAAAAAAGTACATCTTTTACTTATTGTTCTCATTTGATTGGCGAGGATATATTTGTTTTAAAAAATAGTATTCCCTCCATTCCAAAATAAGTGTCGTTTTAGCAAAATGGAGAAATTCTAAAATAAGTGCCGTTCTCACATTTCAATGCACTTTTTGTCAGAAGTTTTCAAAATTACCTTCAAAAGAGTTGATGCTATTGGTGAATAATTTTATAATGGGGTTGGTTGAGGATATTGAAGTAATTTTATTGACCTATTTAAGAATTTCTTAAACTATGTGGAAAGTGTAGGACGACACTTATTTTGGAATGCAAGGAGTAATATGATTGTTAATTTGTTTCTTTTTTTCATTATTAATTTCTTTTGAGTAGGAGCAATATGAGTATCCCTTAAAAAAGGACTCATATAAAGCTTTACATTTTTATTTTATTTTACTGGTTCAAGACTGCCCCGTGTGGCTTTTTAATCCCACTTTTAGCGTTGACTCGTGATTCGTAAGAAAAGAATTAAGCGGTATATTTTCAAGTTACCTCTCAATTCAACCCTTAATTTCGTGGTTAATTTAAGAGGTTGATTTACTAGACGGAATGTAAAGTTTTTGAACCCCTCTTAAAAATTAGTTTAATCTCTTCTCATTCTCATCCACTCTAGTTTATGTACACAATCGAAAAACAATGAAACAGTGTAACCTAAGAAACACACATGATGAATGAATGAAGAAAATTGGATTGGATAAGGTTAAAACCATTATCAATGTTGAATTCTACCAAAATAGACAAAATTAGTTTTCCAATTAATACCCAAACTTTGGGTTGCAAATGGTAAAGTTGGACAATAACATCCAGCTGGTTTTGCTTTGGCTGGTTGCTATAGCTTATATAGGATATGGGAAATCATGGAAGAACCACATAAATAAAATCACATGTTAAATACCTGGAATAAAAAAATAAATAAAAGACACTAAATGGTGTAAAAAGAGCGTCTTAATTGTGTGAATTTTACAGCTGCTCCATAGGCCATGTTCTTCTCACGGGTCACTCTTGAAGATGAGTATTTATATCTTATCCAAATTCTTTTTTTTTTCTTTTTTTTTTATTTATTTGACAACCCTCTTAATCAAATTTAAATTTTGAGTCTTTAAAATGTAATATTGGCCAGTTGTAAAGTTTTAAAACCCTCGATTTAGTATTGATGGCTGCTGTGAATCATACGTGTTTTTCTTTGGCCATCATTTATCCTGGGTCTTATGTAAGACCTAAAATTACTCCAAACCTCCAATGTCCATGAATTATTATTGGATAATAATAACACATAGATTGCATAGATGAAAATTATTACAGCTTCGAGAGGCGATAACTGGATCAAAATAAGGTGGAAAAGAAGATGCAAAAAGTTAGGATCATCATCTCTTAGCATGTAACAGAGATGCGCATGTCTATGACGATAACTGAGAAAACATGAAAACATCTTAGGGGGATCATAAATTTAAGGGATCCTTATCAAAGTTCGTGGACAACAGGATCAAGGTTTATGATCTGAATGTTCAATAAGAGATGGAGGGTGGAAGATCAAAGGTTGCTGGAATGCATGGATTCGTGCCCCTGCGGGCAGGACTCGGCATAAGCATGGAGGTTTATCGTACAGTTTTGGATTGATGAATCAGAGCGAAGCATTTGTAGTATAAATAATGCACCAAATGGAAACGTAAAATCAACTTAGTGTGCAAAAAGATATCACAATAGCCACCTCTTATAAGTTGCCAAACTCAATTAAACTGATACATTACTATTTACATGGCTACCCATTCCAATTGTTCCAGACCTTTAGTTGTCTAATGAAAGTTTCATATTGCATCTAACTTGCAAACCACTATAATGATCGATTGTGGCGTGAAAGCGCTCGACCAGTGACTTTCTATTTCTACAATGCAATGTGTATCATGAAAATCTCGATTGCTTCCATGTTGCAGAAACACACCCCTGTTCATCATCTAACTAGATTTTGCAGCTCACCTATTTGCGGGATTGAACGGTGGAAACATCATAGCCAGGAGGAATGAAAACAACATCATCCCACTGTGACGGTGAGCCATCCTGCAAGTAGAAATTTAAGTACTCAATTTTCCACCGTGTCAAATACAGAGGTTACAGTAAAACTTCAAATGACGAAAGGGTCCCTCTTGTTCACACAGGATTTGGGATTAAAAAAAGTTTCTCACCTTCATCTCTTGTATTATATCTTCAAGAACAGCAACCTGCGAAATCAAGTTAAATTCAGAATCACGATGCAGATTATATGAGATCTTTATTGTATTCAATGAGAGAGTGAACATGCTTTCCTAAAATGATGGTTAACTGAGTCTTTATGATCAATCAAAAGCTTTACCTTTACATTTCCAGCTCTAAAAGCCGGATTTAAAACATGCTGGCTTTGTGAGGCACGAACCAGGGATTTTTCCAAATCCTCCTACAGAACCCAAAAAAGAAAAATAAAAGAGACTGGATGTTATGGACTTGCTGAATGCAATAAAGTTAATGGAGTGGTTATATCAGCTTACCTTCCGGAAAAAGACAGGGCGATATCTCTTGTTTTGACTCTTCAGTAACAAGCTTTTTGACTGCACAACACCAGTTCAGGTCAATTATACAAATTACCAGCAAGCAAAGGTGAACAAAAGAATTGGAAGACATTATCTTTGATGTCATTAGAAGAACTCTAAAATCTATAAGGATTATGTCGGAAGCACTTCTATTTCCACCAAAATTTGTCCAGCAAATATAACTGGAATTCTGCATTCAGCATTCTGAAACAAATACCATCACTCATGCAATTTCAAGCTTTCAATGTAACAAAAGGGGGTGGGACCCAATACCAACCTAAAATATTCAGGTTCAGCGCATCAGTTTTGCTCAATAATCATGGCTGACTCAACACGTTGAACAAATTAACCGCTCAAAAACTAACTACTAGAATAGACGAGGAAATCAAATCAAAAACGAAAATTTTAACACAATGAATTTCTCTTTGTCCAAGAAAAATAAGAAAGTTGATCCAAAGACCAAAGCTCTTGAGTTTTGAAGCTCCAAACTCCTCCAAGTCAGCGGCACTAATAACAGAAGGAACACATTACAGAAAGTCACAAAGAAAACAGGTTGCTTCCAGAAGCAAAAAGCTTTCAATGAATTGGAAGATTTTGCTCACAAAAGAATGTAAATTATCAGTCAGAGGAAAAGTAAATAGTAAAACACAAAATCCAAGTACTCACAGTTAGGTTTGGTGTTGACTATATGAGCAGAAGTGCCAAAAAAATCAAATAGGCTTCAAGGCTCAAGCAAGAAGAACTAGCTTTAAAAGGGAATGTGGAAAATTTTTTGTGTTGGCTTCTTGTCGCTGTTTTAGCTTTCAGAACCATCAATGACATCAGTTTCTGAAAATTGAAACAAAATCACCGCCAAATGCTAGAACGGGCATTTAAGACTGTCCTAAATGAAAATGTGAAGAACCACTTTTGAGATAAAAACAGGTTAATTTTTAGCGCAAATGGATCCTGTAACCAACCAAAAAAAAAAAACACATTCATGATTGAAATTTAACTGTCTACATAGACCTACCATACAAATAAATAAACAAAAACAAATCCAAAAACCAAAAAGTTTAATGTATTGTGGTAGCTGGAAATTAATTAATTCCCAGGCCTGGGACATAGGTATTTGTTGATGATAGCAGCAGATTAACCCATTGAGTGCTCTACTCAAACTAGTGTATGTGAAGTTAGTGTTTGTGACAGAATCAAATGTCCACACTAGTGTAATTACAGCTCCGATCTTCCTTAGTAAATTTATTAAAGCACGCACCTAAACGATATAAAAGAAAAATCAAGATGAGGCTGAGACTAATAAACATGATCACTATCATTCACCAAGCGAACTGCTTTTGAATATCTGATAGCTTTATCTTCACAATACAAATTTGCTTTTCTTATTTCTTCAGATTCCTGGTTCAAGGTTAAATGAAATTAAGATTTAGCTAATCAACTCCTCCAATTTTAACTCCTTCATGCATATAAATGACACTAGTTCCTTCTATAATATTGCCCTGTCAGATTAAAATGGAAGCGATACTGACAGACAGACAAAATAAACCAAGAAAAGTTCAGGCAAAGTGTACAGTGCAAGAAGAAAAGAATAACAGAGAGAACAGAAGGAGAAGAAATTTTATATAGTGAAAAATGAGTAAAACCTGGAATACTGGAACCCCATAAAAGCTATCCTCAGATGTACCATCTTTTTTCATTTCCTACATGAATGAGAATAACAGAATATGGATTCAAACTCCAAATAGCAAAGAAGATTTGCATGTAATTCAAAGATGGATTTCTTCTGATAGATTTTCACTTAAAATAATGTGCACCGATCCTCAATGAAATGGACACTCTCATGATACCTACTTTGCGTGCAGATACCTTTGTAATTTCTGATAACCTACTTTGGATTATCTTTAACCTACTTTGGATTATCTTTTCAGTAAGTTATAGATTAGAAAACATATGACCCCCCTGAAAAACAAATTAGTTGTATCATGGATTTCATTTGTGTTTCCATTTCTTTTACCAGCAGAAGTGTGTTTACTGAAAGCACAGCAATGAAACCTTCGAAAGTAAAAATATGATAGAGCGCAACGTGATGAAATGTTCAATCAAAAAGACCACTGCCCATATGTATTCTAAACTTCCGTTCCTGATCTTAGTGTGCTTGCATGTGATCAAGGTACCATATGGGCTTAGTTCATATGTCAAAAATGGAGCACACAGCTGATCTTATACCTGTACAGTTATTTCATAATCTCAGATAGTTTGGATTACGAAAAACAAAAGAATTGTTTTGGATTACGAAAAACAAAACAATTGCCTCTTCACTTTAAAGACCTTGATCAATATAGACTCATTTGTCTATCCTCTTAATCTCAGTCAAATGAAGCCAAAAACAATTCGACCTTAGACCAAATGGTTGCTGCAAACAAAGGTAACAAGACTTTATTTACCGTTATTGCATGCTTTACTTGGGATGGTTCTGGAATCAATCTAAAAGCCACTCCATCAACTTTAAGCTGAAATACCTGCAAAACCATTAACCCATCAGACTTCACTCCTCCATGGCAACATCAATCAATTAAAACCACTACAGACAATTCATAAATTTCACCTCCTCTATCGATTTAACACAGGGGTCTCAAACCAAATAACATTCCAATTCCAAACCCTTCATACCATTCACCCAGCCAACAAACTCTTTATCCAGACACCCTTCATACACATTGCTCAAAATATTACGGAAGCAAAGTGGACAAGAGAACGAGTAAATTGGGACCAAAAAATCTTATCATAATTGAATAAATAAGAGCAGAATTGGAAATAAGAGTCATTCAGGACCTTGTTAAGAGCCACAGGAACGACTTGAGAGCCTTTTCCCATGGAAGGGTCGACGGACTTCATTTCTTTAAGAAGGGTCTGCGCATCAGCTTCATTAAAGCAAAACAGTCCAAGATTTTTCCCAGAATTCGAGCCCGAAACCAGCACAAATTCCTCGGAGGAGTTACTCAGAGCATAAACAGGAACACCCGCCAAACGCTCCTCTATTTCCTTTATACTCATAGGAAGACTTCCATTCTTGTTATCAAAACTAGTTCTTCTATTTTGGAAGGCAGAAGAAGAAGAAGGGGATGATGGGTTTGCTGTGTTGGAAGAAGTTATGGCGTTCGAAGTTGAAGCCCATGGGGGATTTTTGAGGGCGCTAAGGGGTGAGTCGTGGATGAAATTGGAGAAGTTGGATTGGAAGGAGGTGAAGGCCTGGCTGAGGAATTCCAGCGGCGGCGGTTGTCGTGGCTGTGACGGTGGCGCTGGTGGTGGCGTTTGGTTTTTCCGGGAGTTTGGATTGAAGAAATTCATGGTTGTGTTGTGGAAGAACCGGAATAGGGGGTATCCAAGGGGGTTTTGGGAGGTTTTGCAAGAGGGAAGCGTGTTATCCTTTTTCAGGATTATTTTGGGATAATAATAAGTAAAATTACAAAATTTTCCTTTTGATCTATGAATTTTGAAAATAACTATTTTATTTTATAACTAATTTTTCATACATGCTAGTCTTCCAAAGAGCAAGTTTAATATAGAGCACCTAGGTACACCTTGCAAGCCATACTAAGTTGTAAACACGCGCCAACTAAAAGGAGTTTTTAAAAAAAATATTTCAAATTTTCAATTCCTGTTATTTTTCCTAATTTTTAGACATCATTAACCATATCTAATTTTCTACTCCATTCAATCCAAAGACGTCTCAAACTAAAAAAATCTAAAAAAAACAAATTTCATCTCTGCAGCAATTTAGCATCAAAACCTCTCGTCGGCAGTATTTTTGAAGACGGAATCCGATTGTGCATCAAATCCTGTGAGTTTGTTTGCAATATACGTTGCTGAATATGAGAATTAAGGCAATATATGATTTTATTCATCAGTTTTGCTTGTTTCTCCTATGTATGAAGTTCTAATAAGGATATTTTTTCTGAAATATTCATGAAGAGGGCCACGATTGTGTACTCTGATTCGAATAAGAGCAACTCGATGAATGAAGAGAGAAGGAGGTAATACTACTACTTTCGTAAACAATTGGTGTGTTTTTTGGGTTGGATTATGTAGATCTAAGATATGCACATTCGAGTATAACTGTTAGTTATTTTTTTTTCAGTTTTGTTCTTCGATTATTGTTGATTTTAAAAGAGATTAATAAATCTGCGCATTATCCATCATTTCGATATTGTTATTCATCGTTGATAATGAGATATTCATCATCGATAATAGATCTGGGCATTATTCATCAGTTTGATGTTTTCATCAATTTGTTGTCGTTGAACATCAGTTTTGTTGTTGTATTTTTTTTTTTTTGAGAATATTCATCCGTAATGAGTGGTTATTCATAGAAAATTTGGAGCAAGAAATCGTCAAAACTTCTGATCTTTCCAAAGTTGAGTCTCAGGCAACAATGATTATTCATCATTCTGATTAAATATAATTTACGTTTTATGGATATAGTATACGATATGCTGATTTTTTCATCCCATTAAAAGTGATTATTCATCCATTGTGAATCTGTTATTCATCATGTTATATGTGCACTGTTGATATTTTGATTTAGATTGGGTGTATGTAGATATGAAGATTAGTCATCATGTTAATCATGATTTTTCATCGTCTATTAAGACGTTATTCATTAAATATATGTTCATTGTAGGCATTTGGTCTGGATTAGGTGTATACAAATATGATGCTTATTCATCCTCTACTATACCGTTATTTATCTAAAGAGTGATATGATATAATCATGTGAATGTATATCATTTATCAGTGAATTTGAATAGTTCATCCTTTGAATATGTGTTATTCATTCCATAGATATGTGTATTCATCCTGCAAAGATATGTCATTCATCACCAGTAATATTGTTATTCATCAGTTAATATGTACATGTACACGATTGTTATTAACTAGATTCGATTTATGTAATTTTTATACTTATTCATCATTTTCAAAATGATTATTCATCTTCAATATTATTGTTATTGATGATTAACAGAGTTTTGATTGAATATGAAATCTCACTTATTATAATGTTCTTTTTGTTTGATCAGTAACAAAGAAATGCTCATCAAGATGAAGTCGATCGGTCGGGAATCAAATATTTTGTCAAAGTTGCTGAAATCAAATAATCAACATAAACGTGTATCGAACATCGGCAAATCCTTCAAGACTTTATATATTAAAAACAATGACTAATTTTTTTTTTGTCTAGTATAATACATAATTAGAAGTTTGTTAGTTTAGTTACCAATAATAACCCATTGTAATATATATTTTTGTTATCAAAGTTATTCATCCAGTAACATATATTATTCATTCATTAAAGTACAATTATTCATCTTGTAAAACTACAACTATTCTTCATTGTAATATTGTTATTCATTTAAGATGGATCATTATTCATCATATTTGCATCGTTATTCATTGCAAAATTTAAATGTATTCATCTATAACGTTGTCACCATAAGAACATCATCATTCATCGATAAGTATACCATTATTCATCCAAACAAATATTGTTATCTATCAAAATTTTCTAAATTTGACGCTTAATTCTCCAGATTTTATTGTTAATCAATTGAAATTTTTTGCTCCAATTGATTCTCCAGATTCATAAGTCTCGATGATGAACCATATTAAATTTTACCAAAATAAAATCATCGTTAAAAAAATCTCATAAAATAAAATAATATGAAATTAACAGGATAAGCAAAAAAAAAATAGTTTGAAATCAAACTTGTGCTAAAAAAAAAGGGATAAAATTAGGAGATTAAATGCCAAAAAAAGGGATATTATTTGCCTTCAATGAGAGCGAAATTTAAAACTATTATGTTAATTATCAATGGTCAATATATTTTCAAGTGTAATAAATTTTTGTGTATATATTTTCTTTTTTTTTCTTAGTTCGACAATTAACATTTTTAAGAGTTTCTGACTAATTGTGCACGAGTAAATCATGGTGCACTTTGCATTGTCTTTTTTACTTTTTTCCTTTTTCTTGTTTGCTTTATCTATGCTTAAAGTTTTTCATATACATCATACAATACACACGCTTAATTTAAAAATTTGGATTGTTTCATTTAAAATCTTGCATAAATCACCTTGGTTTTAAAATCATTCCTCATCCAGGGTTGACCTCAACTTTATGACACTCAAATGAGATTTTTGTCTTTACGAGAAAACTAGATGTTCAACTCGCGCGATGCGTGGGAATAAAAAGTATTTCTTTCGTCTCACAAAAATAGTCCAGTTTAATAAAAACGTTTGTCCCAAAAAAATAGTCCAGTTTCACAAAAGTCACAATTATTTAAATTGAAATGACTTAAATATCCAAAAGAGTAGTGGTAAGGAAAATAAGGTTCACTTTCTTTGATTTTATTTTTTTTAGTTTTCTCTCATTTTTTCAAATGATTATATCTTTTAATACATAAATAATTTAAAAATGTGTTATATATCAAATTAATCTACGTAACGAGATCTTTCCATCAAGATCTATTGTTAATATTTTTTGATTAAAAATTTTGATCAAATTTAAGTTGTAAAATAAATGCATATGTAATTGACTTTTATAGAAATAACTAGAAGGGGCATTGGTGGAAGTTAGGGCATAAAATGAGTTGTATATTTGGTGTGATGACCAAATTAAAAAATTTGTACATTTTTAAACTGGACTATTTTTCTAGGACGGAGGGAGTATATTTTAATAGAATAGTTTGTAAAACTTAAAATTTGAAAAGAAAATTGAAACCAACAAAAAAATGCTTGAAATTTTAATCAAAATTAACAAATGTCTTTCAAGCAGGAGTGTATAGAAGAAAGAATTATTTTGATGAAGAATAACATCAATATTATTTTCAATCTGAAAATAATTTCTCCTAAATATTTTAAATTATGATAAAGATTAATAAAATAATAATATGAGATAATATGTCATTTTTTTATAGGACAAAGTAATAAACAAGCATTTTTAGGAAGAACTCTAGATCCAAATTGTGTGGAACATTTGAGGGGATCCAAGTATCCCCATTTATGAAATTTCTAACTATAAATTGTGATGCCTCTGTAGCCGTGGTGATATTAATCGACCACTTTGCTCTCGTTGATGTATTGGCCCCTGGTCGCCTATTTGCGTACTCGCCAAAATAGGGTTGCACTGGAACTTTTTCTTCCCATTGAATCCAACATGCTGGATCAATTCCAGCATCTATATAACTCTGCAAGAACACAGTTCGAGAGAAGTTTTTTCATGGTCTTCTCAGAAAATATTTGACTTGATGTAACTCCTGTGTGTAGACTGAGCAGTTTTGAAGGACAAAACCTGTCTTGGCTGTATGAGTTGTCCTTCCTTGCGCGGTTATAACTGTCTTGTCCTGGAAGAGATTGCCGAACACGAATGTTGCAGTTTTGGAATATAGAAGAAGCATCTCCAAAGATGAAATCTATTGTTCCAATTATGTCACAGTCCCTGAAAAATGTTGTCCCAGTGTTTGCATATAAGGTATCTTGGTACCCCATGAACCTACAATGGTAAAACGTTAAGTGTTTCGCTCTATAATAAAGTGTTATAGTTTGGTAGGCCAGGGGTCCAGCTGTGTTTTCAAATGTTATGCCCTGGGCCACAAAGCCGTCACCTAAAATTCTTACGAGTAAATCAAACTTAGTAAGTGTCTATATGAATAAATTCATTGGATATATTAAGTGGCTATATTATGAAAATCGGTTTGGAAGGTGAACCGATAACCTAACCGGTCATTGGGCTGATCGATTGATTGGCTCTCAATCCGTTATTAAAATATTATTATTTTTTTCAAAAAAAAAAATCTGGTCCAACTGATCTTGATTTTCGATCGAAGTGCGGTTCTATGCAGGTTTGACCAATTTTCTACGATACCGGGTTTTTATAGAAGTGGGCTCGGAGGGGCAACCGATTCCCGATTTGACCACATGTTCCGATCCAGTTTTAACAACATAGTTCGTTGGAGAGTTTATGAATAAATATACACGAGATACTAACCTACTGTTGTAGTTTTTAGCAAGCCAGAGCCACCACCAACACTTCTGTTCCCTGATATGAACGTGTTGTCCATGTGATCACCGATTAACACAATATTTGTTTTCTCTTTTCCAACTATCACTTGTTCGCAGGGCCGGCTTAATGTTTTCGAAGGCCTAAACGAATATTGAAATTGAGACTTTTTAAATATAGAAAAACTAAAAAAAAAAACAATACAATAAATAACTACAAAAGTAACAAAACATTTGCTTCATGTATTCATTCAGAACTAAAATTTTAAGATGTTACTATATCACACACAAATTTAAATAGTGTTTAGATTCACTTTTCCTTTAAAGTTTCGTGAAAAAAACTAACGGTCTATATTATTTTATTTTTTTGCACGTAAAATTCACATCTGCTGACAGAAAGGTATTATGCGTCCATC